AAATGTGAATAACTATACGTTTTCGCTCGCGTTTCCGTCTTTTTGATAACGACGGCGCGACGGGTTATATATCTTGATACAAATTACAATTAATTGTGCGGTACGGCATAGATATTTGCAGCGAAGCGAGGAAGAATCATTGCACACGTGCGGACTCCCTTAGTGCTTCGCAAAACTGATCTCGTGAGGAGGCTGGTCCTTCTCCACCATCCACACGCTGCCGCTTTTTCCGCTACTCAACACGTGTATCAATGCCTTCGCCACGTGTTCCGCCCTAAAGCGTTGACGATCGTTTTCAAATCTATGTACTAATTTTGCACAATCTGTATGCTAATCTATGCGCTTCTCTGTGCTATTTTTATTCTACGTTTCTATACATGTTTCTATACATATACAACTTTGCAAAAACAATGTTCTTTCTCATACTGTAATTATTATATATTTTTCTTAAATATAACATATATAATTCTTAAATTTCTAATTGCAACTAATTTGAATACTTGAAACAAATTTACTAAAAAATTATTAGAAAGTATTGCTCGTTATGTAATTTATGTAATTAGGAAATAATCAATAAGAGCTATTCGTCACAATGATGTAAAGATAAGAGAAAATATGTGAAATTATACCTTTGAGGAATTGACGAGGCCGTATCTCTTTGCCAGGCATCTTCATATCGAGCCAAGAGAAGCTTTCTATTGACGTCTCGTACTAATTTGGTATCTGTGGCACTCGGACAGAGTGCCATTACCTTAACACCCGTCAAATCTACGTGGTATTGATCCTTTCAGGAAAATTAAGAGCAAAATTAATATAACTATCTCTTATATTTAATTTAATAAAAAGAAACATATACTTTAAATTAATAAATTATTAAATTTCATCGTCTAAATTTTTAAATATAAATTTTCATAAATTTATTCGATATATTCGATATATTTTTACAAGTCATATCAATTTTGAATATACATATTAATTTTTATTGTGTTCTATTACTTATTTAAGATATAAGTATTATTGCTTTTCAAAATATTTTTTAATTAGAAATGCACAGATTTATTGCTAATTTTTCGATAAAAAAGTATAGAAAGAGTATAATATTGATTACATAACACTTTATCAGAATCACTTGATCAAAAGAAAAATTTGTTATTCCGAATCAACGATTATAATCGATAATGCAAGATTTAGATAGGTATAAAAAGAGCTTACTCCAAAAGCTCTGGTGAAGTTGACAATAGCCGCTTTTGTCGCGGAATAAATTGGCACGCTGACGTAAGGGTTAATGCTGACATTGCTGCCGGTATTAATAACGATTCCACCCTGGCCACCCCTATCGGTGCCCATAAATCGTTGAGCGAGCAAAGTGCCGCGTATTACCCCATTCTATAATTATAGTTGCAGAGACATTTAATTTTTAAATCACAAATATTATAAAATAAAAATTTAAAAATATACTACTTTATAAAAATACATTATCTAAATTTAACGAAGAGGCAAATAACTAGGAATAATTTCTATCCTAATAATTTAGGATGATTCATTATAAAATTGTCTCAATTAAAAAATAAATAAGATAAGAAACAAATTCTCACAAGGACGTCGTAAATATTTTAACGCAAAGAACAATTCTTAATATGTTATTAGAACAGGACATGCAGGAGCATTTTGCAAGGAAGCTATAGGGTATTTGCTTACAAGATTAATGTCTACTTCAAGCTCCCAGAATCGGTCGTTCATGATACCAGCGTTGTTGATAACGATATCAATATGACCGAATTCCGCGATCGTTGTCTGAAACGATTCTGCAAATTGAATTGCATCGTATGCTACATAAGAATTGCATTAGAAATGAAAACGATGTAAGTATGTATGCGTTAGTCACTTATGCGGTTTGAAATAAATCGGCGATAAATAAAAAATCGTGTGTGATTATTATCGCGAATGATCGTACCTTCGAATTGCGGGTAATCCGTGACGTCACATTGCGAAAAGATCACGCGATCTTTACCATACTTTGCGGCTAATGTTTCCACCAGTTTCTCTCCTTCTTCGGTGTTTATATCACAGATAGCCACCTGTACACAATAAAATATTTTAAATAAGTTTTACGTCAATTATGTATTACAAGAATTACTTAAAAAAATTACTTTTTGTATATTTATAAATTAATTTAAATTTAATTTTTTAATAGAAATTTAGAATATAGAAATTTCATCGAGACTGTTAGAAAAATTATTGAATAAAAATTTTCTAAAAGCAAAAAAATACATTTGTTATTAATAAAAGTATTGAATATATAAAATGAAAGTAATATTGTATAATAATATTGTGTAATAAAATATGCAATTATTCAAATTAATATAATAAGATATGTATGCATAATCGTATGCAATCATGTAATCATGTTAATGATAATCTTTCCCTTTAAAATTCAAAGATCATAAGTTTCTGATTTTGCCTGGGTTTTGTTTTTGTCTGAAGCAAATCTAAATACTAGTTGTTTTGAAAGAAAAACACGTCGAAGAATCTTTGAAACGCATTTTATGTAAAATTCCAAATCGTAAAAATAAAACACGAGGTATGGGATTTGAAAAATCAAATAGTGACTTTATTAAGATTTTTCTCCTTTCTCTTCGAAAGAAAAGAGATATTTAAACAACATAAAAAGTGCGAAACAAATACATGATTATATTTTCTCTGAAATTATAATATACCTTAGCACCCTGATTCAGCAGTTCGACAGCATACGCTTTGCCGATACCAGATGCAGCTCCAGTCACTAGGGCAACTTGCCCTTTTATTTCCATTTTCTTGATAGATTTTTATCTTCTCTCCTATCTGCAAATATAAAATTTAAAAATAGTATCTCAGTATAGATTTAGATTAATATTTTTATGTGCCAAATAGGAAGATCGTAACACTACGAAAAAAATATATTGTGCTTATTTAATACAAATTCAAATTTAATTAGTGGAAATTTGAATACGTTTCAACTTAATAATAATAAATGTTGTTACAAATGTTTTTTGATACAGATATGTTTGTTGATTTAAATAGGTTGAATTTAACTATTATTTTGTCAGAATTAATTCGTTAGAAGTTTTATTAAGTTTCTAAATTTGTTTATTCAACACCTGACACCCCTCACTCATATATTTTTCAAAGGAAGACTCTCATACAAAAGTAAAACTAAGAAATAAAAAGTAGCCAATCGATATATGCTGTGAACTTTTTTGTCCTTTTTCTGTTTTGTTAGGGCTCAGACACAATAAACGAGAATAAAGCGTAAGGAATTAAATATATATAATTAAGAACAAAACATTTCTGTCAATTAATGATATTCCTTGATTGTATATTGAATGATCTCTCATACATCGATATTTAATTTTCTATTCCTAATTTTCTATATTTAATTTTTTGTTCCTTATTCCTCTTATTATGTCTGAACTCTTTATTTTCTTTGCTCTTCCTCTTCATAATTAATATCATGTTTAAAAAGGACAAAAGAAAAGATAAAAATAATTTCTCCGAGTTTCAAATTTAACTTTTGTTATCTCTTATAGATTTCAGCTATTTTTATAAGGGATAGTAATTTAACTCCATGTGTTCCAAGAGCAGAGAGCATTCACGTCAAGCGCACATTCTCCAACCTGTCACTTTGACCGAACACATCAACACATCAGCAAGAGAATAAAATACTAATATCAACGATCTCAGGTATTAATACAATTCACATTTTTCATTTTGATATCACAAAGTTTTTTTAATTCAATCACGTCGGAAGTCCGAGATACCGTTAATCATCCTCAAATCCTTTCCCCCGTGACAAAAATCCATTTATTACATATCGTTTGATTCTCTCCCTTCGTCCACCTCGAGATTACGTTCATCAATTCGAATCTTTTCTCTTTTCCTTTCGTACCTTTCGGACTTCTCCACCCGTGCTGAGATTTCGCAACAGGCGGGATGCGAAGGACACTGGCAAGCCGACTAGCTTGCGTACTCGGATTGTCCAGACGACGTGTCTCTTTTCCGTTAAAAGGATGCGATTGACGGTGCGGCGAGGCAACTCCGGGAAGGTGTGGTTAGTAGTCGAAGGTACACTGGCTGACTGATGGTCGCGATGGTCGGGGTGCACACCCGGTATAGCCCGATATTGATTGGCGCGTCTGCGTGCCATGCGGGTGTGCGCGACGCCGGCCGGTGCGTGCCTTCCACGCACGTGCGTAAATGCGTGCGCTCGCGATTCCTCGACAGACTATCCGGCGGCCCCATGGCCCCTTTTATTTTTAGAAACATCAGCCGAAACAGCGACCGCACCCCGAAAGCGAAAGTTCGAATTTTCTCCACTTGATACGGCGCAAAAATCGCTCGATCTAAGGAAGATGAAAATATGTCTGTCCCTTCACGTTGAAACACATCGTCATGTTTAAAATTTCGTTGATATTGATTTTATAATTATTAATTTGTTGTTTGTTAATTCGATTCTGACTTCTTCCGGAAAATAGAAATTTAAAATAATATACACACTTTTTCAAGGTGAAGAATTTGGACAGTTTGACTCTAATATATTAAAATTGGAATTTATATATCGTGAATTAAAAAATTGTCACCTGCAACTGTAATCGTAATTAATTTAATAATTATGCTTTCTAGGAGATAAAATGTAGATAGAATATTTAGACTATTAATGAGGTATTTACATTTTCTACTTAAATTTAAAAAAAGTATAAAAGTATTTGGATATACATATATTTAATTTAAAAAAGAAAATATTAAATAAATATCTTCTTATTTTTAATTTCAAATGCAATGTATAAAACAATACACATGTGTGCATTAGATAATATTAATTTATTATAATGCAATATTAATATTTATAAATAATAAATTATATAAAAAAAATGCAGTTTTAATATATAACAAAATTTCAATATTATAAACAGTCGACTATTGAATAATAAAATTTTGTTAAACATTGAAATCGCATTTTTTAGTACATTTTACTATTCAATATTATAATAAGTTTTTTTTATACAAATATGTATGTAAAATACATATATGTATTTTAAACATTTAACATACATATCTTTTAATTGAAAAATAAAGTATTGAGTTCTTGAAAATAAATATAGTTTTTAAATGTTATAAATGTAGTTAAATTTAAGATTTTTTTATTATATAATTTCTTATACAGCATTTTTTTCTATTTCAAATTTTACGACATATAAAAGAAAGGTGGAGATTGTTGTTCATATAAGAAGTAAAGATTTTATTTTTTTTAAAACTTTTTGACATTAATTAAAAATTTTAGCTATTTATTCTATCTACATGAACGCAGTATAAATGTTATATTAAAATTAGAATTTCCGGATTGGCCGAGTTGTCCCTTGTTAATAAAGTTCCTGCACTGGATGACCTTTATAGATTACAGTTATATCAATTGTATCATTGTAATTTTTACGTGGACTTTGTTTCTATGTTTAATCGTTTCGTTGGAAGCGATGTACATACACAGGGAGATCTCAATCGGATGAATAGTTTTTGACTTATCTTGCATGTCAATTTTAAACTTTTCCCATAAGGAGTCGGCGAGCAATGTACTGCTGCTTGTATTCATCTTAAAAACCAAAAAGATACCTTTTTTGTGAGGTTTACATTATTAATTAAACCTATTTTTAAAGAAAATAATGCAAAATTATAAAAGTGGCGACATATTGAAGACGAAAATATCGATTTTCGCATATTAATTATGCAATAAGAATTATTTATATGAACAATACAATTGCAAATAGAAGTTCAATTTATGAGGGGAATATTTATCTAAATGTGTGCACAGGGAGAACTCAATCGAATAAATAGTTTTTTAGTTATCTTGCACGTCAATTTTGAACTCTCCCGACGTGAGGTTGGCGTGCAATGTGTTCAAACGCTGCTTGTATTCATTTGAAACAAAAAACTAAATTGATTTCTTTTTTGTGAGGTTTACATTATTAATTGAATCTATTTTTAATTTAAGCTCTATTTGCAATAGTATTATTCATATAAAAAAGATATCCTTTTGGTTTTTTGTTTAAGAATACAGCAGCGCTACATTGCACGCCGACTTCTTATAGGAGTTTAAAATTGGCGTGCAAGATAGCTCAAAAACTATTCATCCGATTGAGATATCAGTTATATTGTTTGTTCAATTAATTATTATTTACGTTTAATAATTTTTAATTGCAGTGTTCAATTAATTATTATTTACGTTCAATAATTTTTAATTGCAGTGTTCAATTAATTATTATTTACGTTCAATAATTTTTAATTGCAATGTTTAAAAAATAATAAACATTTAAAAATATTATTATATATATATATATATATATATATATATATATATATATATATATATATATATATATATATTATATATATATATATATATATATTATTTTTAAACATTGCAATTAAAATTAATATATTATAAGACATACACGAGATCTCGTCTAAATCCGATTTTTAGGACCAAGTTATTCTATGTTCACAAAAAATTCGTGAGCCCAACAAAGCACAACTTGCAGTTTCACTTCACTGATTTTCTGAGAAATGTTACATATTTTCTCAGCGCGCCGTTGCCGTATAAATTACACGATTGAAATATGAATTTATATCAAGACATCCACCGTACCGTCTCCGCGGATAAGAAATCTCGCACGAGGAGAGACGAATCAAACACAGATCGCGAGGTCGAAGATCACCAAACGAAAACAGTGGCTTCTTCCATATCGATTCAAGGAGGCTCCCGGATCGGCTGAAGATTCATGTCGCAGCTGGTGATCGCGTTGACAAAGAGAGACATCTTGGCTTTTTGACTTTGTGCAATTTAACCATATTTTACAGTAGAAATATAAAATCTGCAAACGGAAATTCGTATATTGATCTTAAAACAAGAAATATTTTCACGAGTGAAAAGATATATTTGGAAGAGATTAAAAATTAAAGAAGAGATGCAGATCAAGGATAAAAGAGTTATAGTGACCGGAGCTGCAAGTGGTGTGGGTCTGGCATTTAGCAGGGAACTGTTACGAAATGGCGCTTTAGTATGTAATTTAATAATAATAATATTATATACATTATTAAATTAATATAATGTTATATTGATGTATTAGTACTATGCTGTACTAAATATTATGTAAGAACAATAAGAGCATTATACATTATTCTTTTAAAAATATTCATTAAATTTATTAAAGTGATTCCATACACTGCTTTATCTTATTTTTTTCGTTAATGACAAAATAAATAAAATATATACTAAAATAATAATTAATTAAAAATTAAAAATAAACAATTTTAAATTAGTTAAAAGAATAAAGAAAAAAATATAACACTAATAATTAAAAAAGAATTGAATATAAATTTTTAATTTACTTTTAATTTTAATCTTTCCTTATAAATTTATATTATTAATATCATTTAGTTTTATAAATATTTTTGAAAAGATTTTATAGTCGAAAATTTATTTATTATATAATTTATATCTTTTAACTTTATTTGAAAATAAATGTATTTTATTGTTTTTAATACGTATTTGTCAAATTAAATCAGAATTTCTTGTATTAATTAACAAATAATTTTTATTATCAATAGATGTGATGGCTTTGCGAATTTCAAATGTTTCACTGTTATCGCATTTATACGTAATTCAGCTAAAGATAAACGTTTATCATCTCAGAATAATCCGTAATCGCATGCATGATTATGATGTAGCAAAGCTACCATTAGAAATCATAAGAAAATTCAATCGCTAATAATATATCGTAATAATTTTGAAATATTTACAAATTATAAATTTCTTTACGTAAATAATAGAAAAGTAAATTTTTCTTTTAGATGATTGTTATGATTGATATACAGCAATCCCTTGGAGAACAAGCTGTAGAGAGTTTAAATAATGAATTTGGTCGAAAACGTGCCGTATTTCTCCATTGTGACGTGGCGAATAGTTCCGAATTTGATGGTAAACATATATCCATATTATTCATATATATATATATATATATACGAGGGTCGTCTGAAAAGTTTTGAGTTGAGCCTCAACATGAAGATGACATTATTTATTAAAACCATTCTGGTATTACAATCGTATATGCTTTGAAAGATATCTGTGAAAATTGTAGTCATTTTGAACGTTCAGTTATTATTTGATAGTTATTCGTGCCAGTTGATGTCAGTGTTTTTGTAAAAATGGAAGAAATCGAATATCGTGCCGTGATTAAATTTTTACATTTGAAAGACAATACGCCTACGCAAATTAAAGCCGAATTAGATGCTATTTACGGGAACTCTGCTCCATCATTTGCCATCGTGAAAAGATGGGCAGCTGAATTTAAATATGGTTGTACCAACTTGGTTGAGCGTTCGGGACCAACGGCCAACAACTGCGATCATTACCGATAACATCGAAAAAGTTCACCAAATGGTACTGGACGACCGTCGAATCAAAGTTAGAGAGATAGCAGAGGCTGCAGACATATCGAAAGAATTATCATCATATCGTGTTTGTCATATATTGATTAAAAAATTAAGCATAGCCGCGCGATGGGTGCCGTGCTTGCTCACTGTGGACCAAAAACGCATTCGAATGAACATTTCCAAGGCCCTGTTGGAGCAATTTAAACGAAACGAGTCAGATTTTTTGCGTCGATTAAGAACTGTTGATGAAACTTGCATCCACTACTTTACTCCTGAAACGAAGGAACAATCAAAACAATGGACTGCGAAGGGTGAACCTGCTCCGAAAAAGATGGTTTCATCGACCGGGAAGGTATCGCTTTTATTCGAGATCTTTTTCGGAGTGTCAAAATATTTTTCCGCCGTGTTGTTATTACACTGAGTTTGTTATATTTCAAAGTTTCGGTTAGTTAAGAATAATAAGAATAATTTATAAGAATAAATTATTTTATTATACATCCGCAATTCCAATTCTTGGATATCACTTAAATGAATCTTACATAGCAAAGCATTCGGAGATAAGCTATTTATACAGTGCAAAACTATTAGAAAGAACTCGCGTTTTTAAATAAAAGCAATCTATTATATTAGCCTGCCGATTCCTCGTAAACATGTAACAGCTCCGCGTATTCTGTCTGTATGCGTGTAAGTGTATACGTGTGTCTAATGACGCGTGTTCGGCTTTAAGATCCGTGGTGATATATTCGCCAGAAAACAATAAACGGGAGTGTACTACGCATTAATTGACAAACTGAAGGCAGAAATTGCGAAAAAACGGCCACATTTGAAGAAGAAGAAAATGCTGTTCCATCAAGATAACGCACCGGCTCACACTTCGATGATCGCAAAAACTTACGAACTGCGATTCGAATTGATTGATTACCCATGTATTGTATTCACTAGATCTGGCTTCTAGTGACTTTTCCTATTTCCTAGGCTCAAAGTTTGGCTCGGAGGACAGAAATTTTCGTCGAACGATCAGGAGATCATCCGTAAAAGCTTATTTTGCAACGCTATTTTGCGACGCCAACTATTATATGAATGGGTTAAAGGGATGGGAGCATCACTGGGAAAAGTGTATTGACTTAAAAGAAGATTATATTGAAAAATAAAACTGAATTTGATCGAAAAAATACTTGTTGGGCTCAAAACTTTTCAGACGATCCTCGTATATAAATATATTTATTTTTATTAATTAATATTTTATTAATACATAAATCAATAAACAAAGTTGATTACTGTTTGAGCCAAATATCTGTATAAAAATCAGATTTATTTACATTTATTATTTTCACATGTATTCAATGGATATGTATTCAAAACTGAAAATATTAATTGTTGCAGCGACATTCAAAGAGGCGATTAATATTCTCGGCGGGCTGGAAATTTTAATAAATAATGTAGGCATAATAAATGAAACTGATTTCTCTAAAGCTATCGATGTTAATGTGGTAAGTTTTAATTTTAACTTTGTGTTTCAGTTGCTGATTATAGTATTGAATTTAATAACATATTAGAGCCAAAAAATAATTAGAATTTTTTAAGTATTTTCTGGCAACAAAATATTTGATATGTAATTATAAAAATATTATGAATATATGTAGATGTTGCACTTAAATGAGCTTACGCGTAATCGTTAAAAAATTTATAAACATGAGGTTTAAATACGGCTTCAATTAAAAATAAAATTATTAAAAAATAATTTTAAATAAATGTTTTAAAATATTAACTTTATTGTGTTGCAGACAGCTGTGGTTCGTGGAACTCTTTTGGGGATTCAACAAATGCAGAAAGATTCCGGAGGCAAGGGTGGTGTTATCGTAAATATTTCGTCTATTGCCGGATTACAAGCGATACCCCAACTTCCGGTGTATTCTGCTACGAAGCACGCCGTAGTTAGTTTCAGCCGTTCTTTTGCAGTGAGTATTTTAAAAAATGTAAATGTTGCAATTGACTTTATAATACATAACAAGAAATATAATCATGAAAGAAATTATGATATTATCATGTAGTAAAATATAGAAAAATAAATATTTCAAGATGATTGTAAGTTTTAGAAATATGATTAAATAAGAACTAATTTTCTTTCCTTTTTGAAAACATATCTCTTTTGACAATAAATATCTATTTTTAATTTCTTTAATTTAATATTTCGATTTTAAACTTGACTTAATTTTACATAAGACACGGTTTTATAAAAAAATTTTATATAAAAAAATAATTTTATATAAAAAAGACGACTGTGTCGTAATCGGATATTTTTCTATTTCAGCAACCCTATCATTACAAGAGGACTAATGTAAAAGTGATCGTTCTATGTCCTGGTTTGACCGATGCACCAGTCCTAGAAAGTTTACCCGAAGGTATTTCGGAAACTGATATTATGCACAATCGGCCTCAGAGGTAGGTTGCTAATCTGTAATATAATTAGTGTGCTCCCAAAACTTGTGTAAAACATAAAGTAAAATCTGTTGTCAGAGTGGAAAGCGTAGCTCACGGATTAGTATATATAATTCGATGCGCACAGAACGGCAGTGTGTGGATCAGCGAGGATGAAAAGCCGGTTTACGAAGTGCAACTACCCGATACTTTGCCACAGAAGAAAATCGAAGTCGACACAGAAGATTGGCATGAGATCAATTAGGGATCAAACAATTCATACATTCATCGTGTATCAAATAATATTGTTAAAATGGACTGCTCTCTTTTACATGTTTGGTTGAATAAAATCTGTTGTTATTATTTGTAATTAATTGAAGTTGTAATGTGAGATCTGTAACAGAATCTTCAATATATTTCTGTTTTGTACGTAATGCTTTTCTTATCTTTGAACATATATCTGATTACCTTTAAAATTAATTATGATAAAAAACACATTTTCTGTAATGAAAGGTTTATGTTATATTTTACAGGCAAGTTACGATAGACTTTGAATAGTAAATCTAAATTGTTAATTAAAGTGGATGCATATTGGACAAGTGGATGTTATATATGGAATCAAATTTAATTTTTTTAGCCTGTAAATAAGACGTGTAAGATTTGAAAGAATTTT